ATATATAAACTCTTGGAGAATCTTATTCATCAAAGTTTTCAACTTCACCCAACAGATGAAGGGTCAAAGAAATTAATGGACAGAAAGAGCAAAGTGCCGAAATTATCCAGAGCTAATGGCAGTCTTAATAATCAATCCCCAGGATCTTTTGCCTCAGTAAGTGTGAGAAGACACACCACACACAATCCCCTACATAAAATATAAACATCAAAAAAGCTAAATGAAAACTGAGTACCATACTGTTAAGAAAGCCACAGGACACTAAGAGTGTAAAAGCCACACAGTTTCTGGTAACTGTTGTCAAAGGTTCATTGCAAAAATTACAAGTTGCTTATAAGAGGCCAAATTAAAAAGGTCCCTTTCTTTGGCGCCACACACCTTTACAGCCCTGATGTTTATATCCAATCCTGGGCTAGCCACATAAATTCATGTTGATGTTTACTGGGAAGAAAATGATGGAAAATACAGAGGGGGCCAAGCAAGGTCGGGGAACAGGCTGTAAGATTACCACCTTGCTGGAAGTCGGGAAACCCGGGTTGTGTTGGGGCCAGCGGCTAACTCACACCTAAATGTCTCAATTATCTGGTGTGGTGTGATTTTTAAGGACCCTTTCAGCTCTGAAATGCTAAATCTGGGCAGAGCTTCACTTAAAAAGTTTTCCTTTGCCATATTTACACAGCGGAACAAGTCCAGTGTTAAATTGCGCATTTAAAAAGCCAACAGAGAATTGTAGAAAAGGCATACACAAACAAGCAGCACACAGACCCTCGGCTTACGGAGGCCCTTTAGTCTGTGTTCACTACTAAGTCCTTTTGTTTAGATGGTGAGAGGGTTACCCCTCTGACTCCCCAGAGGCAGAAGCTCAACCCCTCAGCATGCTGGGAACGCTATGAACCCCAGCACTCCACATGCTCAGCGAACCCACCACTGCTCATCACACAGCCACTTTCAGTTCCTCAGAGACAACACGACCAACGTTTATCATCTCCTCCATTCCCACCCTGGGGCACACGCTCCTCCACTGACACCAAAACTCAGCTCAGTATTGCCTCCCTGGGCTCACTCTGCCCACACTTCTACTAGTATGTAGACCCAGTATTCTTCAGCTCTTTTTATTCTTTTTTAATTGTTTCATTTTTTTTTTATTGCGGTAACGTTGGTCTAGAATACCTTATATGACTCAGGGGTACAGGATCACACCTCTTCAGATGTATCTTACCACACTCCACCCACCACTAAAGCATCCACAGTCCTCTGCACAAACCACGGCCCCTCCCCCCAGAACCCCCCCTTTATTAGTCTCCTCTACTACACCACATAAACTCTATAAAGATTGGCTTTTACCTTACTCATCCTTTTATCCCTTCCCACACAATTAGCACCCAACGACATGTTTGCTGAATTAAATTGAAAAGAGAAGTACCTCAAGATTAGCTAACAGGATATGGCCCAAATTATCTTTTCATCAGAGTGAAGGAGAAAACAATAGGCTTAACCTCCTCTGGCCCAACCACTTATCACCTCCAGCAATGTCTGGTGTCTGCTGTCTGCAGTCGTTGTAGTTGAGGTCATTGTCCACAACTCTACCACTCAGTTTCAATTCTTTCACTTGCAAAATGAGTGGTCTTGGACAAGCTACTGAGCTCAGTCCCTGCAGTATTAAATGGGGCAAATACAACTTACCCTGGTGCAAGGTTACACAACACCAAGTCGTGCTAGTATGTGAAAGGCAGTGCCCACTGACCCAGTCAGGAGTGCACAGGTAGCAAAGGGTAACTCACCTTGGGTGCTGAGCATTTCCAGGACAAATAGATCAAACCGTAAAAACAGCATCTCTCGCGCTTCTCGAGTGAAACCCCACCTGGACACACATTGCCTAGGTCTCTCACTATGTCTCAGGATTTTGATGCCAAAACCTTGGTACCCACCATCATCAGTTTCTCTTTCCAAATTCTGGTTTTGTTTTGTTTCATTTTTCTGTTCCAAGAATCCCAACAGAACCATCACCACAAGGAATAGAGCAGACAAAGCCAGGACTGACGGTGCAAGACAGACTGTGGTCAAATAAGGAAGAACTGCTTGACTACAACTCTGATTCAACTGTGGAACAGGCTCCAGAGGAATTTCTGGTAAAATGTCAAGTGCCTGAGAGCTCAGACCCGGGGGAAGGATGACATGATTTCATGCAGGAACAGTGAACCCTCAATTTAACTACACCTTGCACAGAACACCTCCTCCATCAGAAACAGATGCTCTAGTACCAAACAGTGGAAAGGCTGATGAAATTTGAGGCATGCTCGTCATCGTCACTTCCAGAAGCATCCTGAATGGTCCTGAAAGCTTTCTTCTGCTCAGAAACAAAGCACAGGCCACTAGGCAGAATCAACAGGAACAAATGGGATCAAATGTTTCAGCTTAATAGCATAGAACTGTTTAAACTTGAAAACAAAATAAAGCATGTAGCCATGACTATTTTTATTATAGCGAGGCAGGTCCCCATGGTGAAGAGCACATGCACTCCAAGACTGACCAGTGTCTGTACTTATTGCTATGCGACCTTTTAAGGTTCCTAACATTAGTGTTACCTAAGTGTCTGACAAAAACAAATGTTAGGATCCAGTATGCGCTCAAAAGCAGCCAATATACAAACTGTGCTTATAACAAACTGTTTACTGGTACTGCCATGAGAAATCTCAAAGTTGCCTTTATTTTTGTTGACTTCTAGAAATTCAGCTTGCCAACCAGCAAATCCTTTCCCTGAGCATGAAGTCTGAACAGATCTAAAACCCAGAGGTCAATCTGATGTGGTGAAATGGAAACTGACGTTTTTCCACACAGTGCATCAAATAATAATCATTCCCAGACTAAATGATGGTAAAATAAACATTATTTATTGTGTGTTCACTGTGGCCAGTCACCTTCCAAGCTGTTAAGTGATGGCAAGGCATGAAATATGATAGGCATGCAGCTTGTGCCACATAGCTGAACAAAGTGGCATATGTGTTAGTAAATCACCAAGGAACTCTTTGGTCCGCAGTTTCAAAAATTCAAAACTTGGCTTGCTGCAACATTTATTTATTCAACAATTAATGAGCAGCTACTCTGTACCAGATACTTTGGAAAACAGATCATTAAATGGTAATCTGCTGTCACAAAGTCGACAAATCTGGCAGAGAAAACAGAAGTTAAACACCTACCCCTGAAAATTTGATCATTGATAAATTGATTTCTAAATAGCCAACAACACTTATTGCTACAAGACCAAGCCATCCCTTGCCTGTGATCATGAATACACAAGAATGGACACTGAAACCCATGCAGGGGAACACCAGAGGCAACAGATGTCACCACGAAACACTGTGTGTAGGGCTGGCAATTCCCTATACTAAGCCTTCCTCCTTCCCACCCTTTCATTCTATCTATACTTGTTGCTGTTCTCAGACACTACTGGCACATTTAATTTCTCCTTTCTGTATTACAATCACATACTCATCTTGCATCACCAAGTTTCTTCACTTATCACCCTGTCTGGCTCTTTCTGCATTCCAAAACTTCTACCATCACATATCTTTACAAATAATGTTATTTATTTCAGAGGTAATTGCCTATATTCAATCTCTCTGGACTCTATTACTTTAAACTTCAGAGGGCAACATTTCTGCTATGTTCCAGTTTAGGGTTGCTGAGGTGGGCAGAAGCAGCCTTTTGTGCAGTCAGACACTGAAACTGTTGCCCCATAAACCTTCAGAATGATTCACATTTAACCTGCAAAGCAACCCAGCAAGACATAGAGGCTAATTTTAAATAAATTGATAAGCATACTGTACAGCAGATTATGTTAGGCATTAAAAATCAAACTTAAAAAACAGTTGCTTGGCAAGTTCACAGCTCAAGTTCAGTGATGGCTTTCTGCTGGTGCTTCTACGAATGGAAAAGGTATGAAAACATGACAAGTCTCAACCAAAATTCATATCAGTAAGTGAACATTCAAGTCAATACCAAAATATCTTGTGTTATTTAACTTCATACAAAAGTAACATTCATGATAACCTAGGAGGTTTCAATCATATCATAGAAAATATACCTCATGACAGGGGAATGCTCAAGGTTTGGGGTGATAATTTAACGATGATACAAGGAAAAAAAATTTTACCTCTACCAAACTCCCCTGAATAGAATAAGACAATCTCACATCCAAGTGACTGGGAGTCCAGCAAGGATATTACTAAAACGTGTGCCAGTCTGTTTCTGGCAGCCCTTACAAGTCATGGTCAGCAATAACAAGGCCTTGTCCTTGTAGGTTGATCAGGGAGTCAAAATAAGGATCCCGAGTAATGATGCCCATTTATGCCTTCACCCTAATGAATCACCGCATCGATCAGAACACTGTAATTAGGGCTCTCTTTCCAGTGACTAAAATTAACATTAATTCCCAGTGTCAGAGGAGTCACACAATATCAGGTTACATTCATTCAACAATGCTTTACAAATTGGAGCAGAGGGAATTAGAGGAACTTTCCACTAGATCTCCATGGGGAAAGATGAAATGCTGAAACATTTCTTAAAAGATTTCCAAAATGTAATCAAACATTAACGTGATCTAGTCCATAGAGATAATATCAGTTAATTATTTTTAGTATATAAAAGCATTTATGTCTGAAAATCTACAGTAAAGAGACCCTATGACAAAAAGTCCACAATGGGGTGCAAGGAAATCTTTCAAAAGGAGGTCATTTCACAACTTGATGGATAAACTCATCAATGGCACCTTCGCACTATCATTTGTAGCACATCCCTGGGACATGTACTCCCCCTAAAGTCAATTCTGGAATAGTAAACCACAATGCTGACTTCATTCCAGACATTTGATATATAGGTGTCTTGGCCCCTCATCAACCCTGAATGTGTACCAGGTGAACACTCACATTGTTAATTGCCACTCTCATAAATTAATATGGTTTCTATGAAAGTACTGAAAATCCATAAAGGAAAAAACTTACCAAGCACAATGACCACTGTCTTCAGAAGACTCATCATGGTGTCCCTATTCCGCCGGGGTCCAGAACTATGCCGAGACATCCTCATCGTCCTCTGGCGAACATAGCCAAAGATATGAGCATAAAGAACCACCATGACGACAAAGGTCACCAAATTGAAAATGGCCCAAAAGACCAAGTAGGAGTCACTGTAGAGGGGTGCCATGTTGGAACAATTCTCAATATCACAGATGCAGTTCCAGCCTACACTGGGGATAGCACCCATCACAATGGCCATAGTCCAGATGACTACAATCACCACCACCACCCGCCGGTTGCTCATCCGTGTGTGTAGCTGCATGCGAAAAACTGTGATGTGCCTCTCAATTGCAATAGCCAAGAGGTTGGCCACAGAGGCTGTGAGGCTGGTGTCAATGAGGCCCTGACGCAGGAGCCATGTGCTGACGGTCAGTCTCCTAGTATTGGGCCCTGTGTTGAACATTAGGTAGAAGTAGGCCAACCCAGCAAAGAAGTCTGCAGCAGCCAGATTAGCCATTAAGTAATAAATAGGAAAATGGAAACGACGGTTGACATAGATTGCCACCATGACCAGTAGGTTGGCTAACATGATGAAGATGCACACAGTGATCCCAAGTCCCATCACAAGTTTGCTGACTGTGTTCCATTCTGTGGCCAGATACTTTCCACTCCGGTTGTAAAAGAAGGCAATAGACTCGTTGTAGAAGCACTGCGGTTCATTCATGGCTGTGAACTAAGAGAAAAGAAGAAAGATGAAAGAAAAAAAAAAGCAAGAAACCACAGTCCCAAACTAAAAGACATATCATACGAGACTTCTCTGGTAAATATGGCAAAAAAAAAAATCAAAGAATTCGAAACTCATTCCACATATGTTCTATGATTATACTGAAACCCCAAGGATTCTCACTGTAGTACTATCCTCAAGATTAAAGACAGTTGGAGTTAAATAAATGACAAGGTCCGTGCTTGGTGGTTTCATGTCACTGAAGTCAACTCGAGAAGCCACATGGCCCAGAAATCTTGCTTAAAATACACGAGACAGATGAGAATGTTACAGAACATTGCAATTGGAATATTCACCATAGTAAAATCTATTTTGACCTGTTATTTAGGGTATCTGTAAACACAGTTGGTTTATAAATAGGGTGCTATTGCCCTATTATGCTGCATTCTTATTCTCACATAGTGTGTTTGATTTCTCAGATACTTTGTAATACAAGTCCCTACAAGGACCACCAGCCCCAACATTTTAAAGAGGTCAAGATACATCAAAATTTCTTTGCCCAAAGCCAGCATTTGTTGTTCGACATTCCTGTGGTCAGCAGTGTCTACCCCCACAACTCCTGATCCCCAGAATAGCATTCGTCAACCCATCTATGACGTTTGAGAACTTTTTTCTTTTCGGAAGACATGAAAAATATGCTACCTAAAGTAACCTCCAACAGAACAGTTGACATTTTGACACTGCTCTAAAAGAAGCTATATAAATATATATTTTTTTAAATGTGGAATATTAATGTTTTATTACGTGTTTTTTCTAAATGACAGCATCATCAATTAGAGTATACTTGAGTTTTTACATTCTTACTTGAATCTCAAAAAGGACTGAGGATGTTTATAATAAAACAGTTAATAATACTATGAAAACATTAGACAGTAAAAAGTTTCAAAGGAGAAACTGAAAACATTCATTTCAAGTAAAATAAATCACTCTTCCTGAGCCTTGTTTGTCTGGGATGCCGAGAATTAGAATTCCTGAAGACAGCTCCCATCTTGCCTTTTTCTTTCTATCTTGTACTTCATTTCATAAATTCTTAGCAAATATGACCACCTGAGTCACTATTTTCATTTAGTATTTGGAATATCCCTGGATGGTACCATGAGAGCCAAAAGGAGGAAGAAACAAATGTACAGGCTGATGTGCAAAAAAGATGGTAAGGCAGAGGCCCAGGTAAACCGACAGCTCGCACAGAGACCACAGGAGGAAAAAAAGGCAAGAAGCCAGGGACGCTGCAGAAATTGCTGGACTGCATGCTACTGTTTGGAACTACATCTCAGTGAGTCTAAAACACTCATCGCCATCTGATTGCTGCCGTCACCTTTGAGAGACCCACCTTGCTCATACCAAAACCACTGCTTTTGATCTTTTGCCCTGGACCTGTGAAATTCTGGACTAGTTCTGATCTCAGTTAGTTGAATGCAACACGTGTACAATAATTCACCTCTTCTGCTACGTTAGCTAAAGGGGAAAAAAGCAAAAAAACAACCTGAGTTGTTGAGAAACAGTGCCAGGAGTCTTGAAGAGCTTCATTATCAGTAAAATAGTAGGCAAAAATAATAATAATAATAATAATCTACCCAGTTGTTCTGGGTGGGGGGAAGAAGTTTGACTGTGTTAGTTTAGGCTACTGAACATATAAATTAAAAGCCTCTCTTAAGAAATCATGACCCCAAGCCTATGAAGCACACAAGTTAGACTATCAAACCTGAGAACCCACAAAGGGAAAAATTAACACAAATTGTATCCTGACATGGTGATATCCCCAGCCCCTCCCACTCCACGTGCCTGACACCAGCAAGCATCAAACCTCTCTGGAAGTCTAGATATCAATGTAGCCACACATGATTCTCTAAATCATCCAAACAAGAAAAAGGACAGAATGGTTACCATGTAGAATCAGCAGAATAGTCTGCAGCAGGATTAAATTCACAAATATCAGAAAAAAAAAAAAAAAAAATTCACAAATATCAGAATCAAGAGAATAGAACTGATGATGTTATTACATTCCTCCCACCTTTCCCTTTCATCTGGGTCAAGAGTTATACTTTCTAGTTATACTTTCTATTCTGTAATGCTTGCTCTTAGTATTTTAGCATGCATACTCAGAGTCTAAAGGTAACCCAAGCTCCTTGATAAGCATTCACTCTCCAGTGCTTCTGCCCCTCTCTTACATAGTAGCATGGTTCAGCATTTTACTTCCATTTGTTCTGAAACCTACAGACACATAAGATCAAGACTAAATGGGGCTTTTCCAAGATGCAAAGATGAGTTAACATTTGTTGCTTAAAAAAACTGAAAGGAAGGGAAAAGGTCAATAATTAAAACAATAGGCATGGCAAATTTGCCTGGTAAATCTAACACCCTTTCACAATAATTTAGCAATCTAGAATTAGAAGAGAACATCCTAACTTGATAAAAAGTGTTTGGCAATTACTGTATTTCATGATAGTATTCCCTTGTAAAACAAAGCTTAATTACCACTTCTTTTAGCATGTGCTATGTTCACAGTCAAAATACTAAGATGAACACAAAAACTAAAGGAAAGGATTAGGACTGAATACCAAAACAAAAGGAAAAGAGGGAAAAACTAAGTATTTTTCCAAATTATATATATACAGTTCCATAGGAAATGCAAGATGATTATAAACAAATTGTATTGAGAGATTAGTGAATTTTGCTAGACTAAATATCAAGTGATCATCAGGGACATGCAAGTCAAAAACATAATGAGATACCAGTTCACACCTTGTCAGCACTGGAAACAAGAAGTGCGACAACGATGTGGAGAAAAAGAACACTCTTGCACTGTTGGTAGTATGTAGACCAACAACCGTATCCTACCCTCTCCCTAAAGGACTGAAGTCCTTGCACTCAAAGGTTGTCTGAATCTTTGAACATTCAATCTGCTCCAAGGTCCTTTCATAAACATTTTGTCTGGTACCTAGGGGTAGGTAATAACTACCTTCACTTCCCTCCTACCCTGAGTCTACCTAGAGTAATCATTTGTGAAATGAGTCAAATTTAACTTACAGGCAGTTCTTAAGAGATGCTATGCATGTTAGTATCATCACACAGCAAATGAAGGTTGACTTTCTTTAATGACAGTCTTATTACATCAGTACAGTTCTCAAAATACAGAAATCCCCTGAACTGTATGATTATGATATCCCCAGTGGTAAAAAGAGCAGGGTGTTGTCCCACCTTAGTGTTTATCCATGGAAAAGCTGCAACAAAAGCTCCAGGAAAAATAACTGGAGAAGCTAATAGAAGGAAACAAGCAAATAGCATCAGGATAGGCAGGAAGGAGAAAGCCACACCCCTTTTAGGAACAAGGAGTAGCCTCATTAATCATAAAAACTAAAGCAATTGGGAAGGATGCATTAGGAAGAAAAAGAAACAAATGTGAAAGACCTCATTTGTGGTTTAATCTAGACAAGCTGAAACTCAAACTGTGCCCTTCGAGTTGGAAACAAGATATCCTCCCAAACTTTTATCTCAGTTTATAAACACAAAAGGGGGCATAGATGAATTTAAACTGCAATATGAAAACAAATTTAACTGCTAAAAGAAACATGGTCCAAAACGGAGTAAGTCAAAGTCTCAATGTTTACTTCCACATGCATTTATTCCTGGCAATATATTGGCACTTTCCATAGTGTGTTTATCTAACTTGCCTTTCCTTTGATGGATCTTCTGGCATACTACGTAAGCATTTATAGAGAGACCAAGTGGAGAGGTAACCACTCTTGCTCTAAAAAACTCCCATGACAATTATGGAGAAAAGGAAAGGTACAAACATACATCAAGTTACTTATTAAGGGAGCTCATACTATATAAAGCACTTAACAGACATTTCACCACTTAAACATGTGAACACAGTACAAAATGCCCCTATGTTGAAAGATCCCCTAACTATAGGACCTGAGCCTAGGTTTGGACCAAAAATTCACCTGGATATAAGTCTATGTGCTCTCTTTCTCAATTCCATGTTATGAAGCCAAACCTCATCATATTTTTATTGTGTGGCACAGAAGGCATATGTCCCACTGCAATTAATTTTTCACATGTTAGCCTAAAAGAAAGTATTATAAAAATATCCACTGTTCCTTACTCTGGAGACTGAAATTTAACAACTGCAAATATCCCCTGACTTCGGAGGCTTCAATCTCTCTCATTTTTATTGTTCAGTAGTAAAATATTCTGGCTTATATTTCAATCTGTTTTCTCACTAAGAGAATAAGGGAGCGAGTAATGAATGAAATTACCCTTTTAAACCTTAAGAATAGCTTTGATAGCTTTATGCATTAGAGCAAACTAGTCTCTTTATTTAAATTTCTTCATTTTACATCATTCTTCATTTTGTACATCTTTTCAACTCGGTTGTTGCTCAATTCCCACCACCAATTCTCCCATATGATATCACCACAGTCCTATGCATAGAGCAAACTAATTTAATCAACGTTTTTAAAAGAGAATACTTAACATACCAACCACAAAAACACTTTTTAGAATAGCAATTAAAGAGACTGATATGAATGAGTATAGAATTATACCAAGGAATGTTTTTGATGTTAAATGTAATAGTTATGGTATTAGGATTGCATCAGTGAATTTTATGTTAGTGGTATATACTGATACACAAGGATTGCAATGCCACAAATGTGCTTCGAAATATTTCACTCCCCCAAAATGGAAGAAAATTAAACATAGAAAAATGTTAATAATTACTGAATCTAGGTGACAGAACACTGGGATTCATTATGATCATCTTTTCATTTGTGTGAATGTTTGAAAAGTACCATAATATAAAGTTCTTAAAAAAAAAAAAAAAAGATGGTTAGCAATCTCAAAAAAATGCAACCTATTTAATATGGAACCCAAATGATGTAATGCCAAAGATTCCACTCTGTCAGAAATAAAATCTCTAAAATGGAATTTGGAAATATGATACA